GGGCAGTGTGAGTGAGTGGGGGGCAGTGTGAGTGAGTGGTGGTCTATGTGAGTGAGTGGTGGGCAGTGTGAGGTAGTGGGGGGCAGTGTGAGTGAGTGGTGGTCTATGTGAGTGAGTGGTGGGCAGTGTGAGTGAGTGGTGGGCAGTGTGAGTGAGTGGTGGTCTGTGTGAGTGAGTGGTGGTCTATGTGAGTGAGTGGTGGGCAGTGTGAGTGAGTGGTGGTCTATGTGAGTGAGTGGTGGGGCAGTGTGAGTGAGTGGTGGTCTATGTGTGTGAGTGGTGGGCAGTGTGAGTGAGTGGTGGGCCAGTGTGAGTGAGTGGTGGGCAGTGTGTGTGAGTGGTGGGCAGTGTGAGTGAGTGAGTGAGTTGTGGGCAGTGTGAGTGAGTGGTGGTCTATGTGAGTGAGTGGTGGGCAGTGTGAGTGAGTGGTGGGCAGTGTGAGTGAGTGGTGGAGTTTGTGTGTAAGTGGTGGTCTATGTGAGTGAGTGGTGGTCTATGTGAGTGAGTGGTGGAGTTTGTGTGTAAGTGGTGGTCTATGTGAGTGAGTGGTGGTCTATGTGTGTGAGTGGTGGTCTATGTGAGTGAGTGGTGGGCAGTGTGAGTGAGTGGTGGGCAGTGTGAGTGAGTGGTGGAGTTTGTGTGTAAGTGGTGGTCTATGTGAGTGAGTGGTGGTCTATGTGAGTGAGTGGTGGAGTTTGTGTGTAAGTGGTGGTCTATGTGAGTGAGTGGTGGTCTATGTGAGTGAGTGGTGGTCTATGTGAGTGAGTGGTGGAGTTTGTGAGTGAGTGGTGGTCTATGTGAGTGAGTGGTGGTCTATGTGAGTGAGTGGTGGGCAGTGTGAGTGAGTGGTGGGCAGTGTGAGTGAGTGGTGGTCTATGTGAGTGAGTGGTGGGCAGTGTGAGTGAGTGGTGGGCAGTGTGAGTGAGTGGTGGTCTATCTGAGTGAGTGGTGGTCTATGTGAGTGAGTGGTGGTCTATGTGAGTGAGTGGTCTATGTGAGTGAGTGGTGGGCAGTGTGAGTGAGTGGTGGGCAGTGTGAGTGAGTGGTGGGCAGTGTGAGTGAGTGGTGGTCTATGTGAGTGAGTGGTGGTCTATGTGAGTGAGTGGTGGTCTATGTGAGTGAGTGGTGGGCAGTGTGAGTGAGTGGTGGTCTATGTGAGTGAGTGGTGGTCTGTGTGAGTGAGTGGTGGTCTATGTGAGTGAGTGGTGGTCAGTGTGAGTGAGTGGTGGGCAGTGTGAGTGAGTGGTGGTCTATGTGAGTGAGTGGTGGTCTATGTGAGTGAGTGGTGGTCTATGTGAGTGAGTGTTGGGCAGTGTGAGTGAGTGGTGGGCAGTGTGAGTGGTGGGCAGTGTGAGTGAGTGGTGGTCTATGTGAGTGAGTGGTGGGCAGTGTGAGTGAGTGGTGGGCAGTGTGAGTGAGTGGTGGACAGTGTGAGTGGTGGGCAGTGTGAGTGAGTGGTGGTCTGTGTGAGTGAGTGGTGGGCAGTGTGAGTGAGTGGTGGGCAGTGTGAGTGAGTGGTGGGCAGTGTGAGTGGTGGGCAGTGTGAGTGAGTGGTGGTCTATGTGAGTGAGTGGTGGGCAGTGTGAGTGAGTGGTGGTCTATGTGAGTGAGTGGTGGGCAGTGTGAGTGAGTGGTGGTCTATGTGTGTGAGTGGTGGTCTATGTGAGTGAGTGGTGGGCAGTGTGAGTGAGTGGTGGGCAGTGTGAGTGAGTGGTGGTCTATGTGAGTGAGTGGTGGGCAGTGTGAGTGAGTGGTGGTCTATGTGAGTGAGTGGTGGTCTATGTGAGTGAGTGGTGGTCTATGTGAGTGAGTGGTGGTCAGTGTGAGTGAGTGGTGGGCAGTGTGAGTGAGTGGTGGTCTATGTGAGTGAGTGGTGGGCAGTGTGAGTGAGTGGTGGGCAGTGTGAGTGAGTGGTGGGCAGTGTGAGTGAGTGGTGGGCAGTGTGAGTGAGTGGTGGGCAGTGTGTGTGAGTGGTGGGCAGTGTGAGTGAGTGGTGGTCTGTGTGAGTGAGTGGTGGTCTATGTGTGTGAGTGGTGGGCAGTGTGAGTGAGTGGGGGGCAGTGTGAGTGAGTGGTGGTCTATGTGAGTGAGTGGTGGGCAGTGTGAGTGAGTGGTGGTCTATGTGAGTGAGTGGTGGTCTATGTGTGTGAGTGGTGGGCAGTGTGAGTGAGTGGTGGTCTGTGTGAGTGAGTGGTGGTCTATGTGTGTGAGTGGTGGGCAGTGTGAGTGAGTGGGGGGCAGTGTGAGTGAGTGGTGGTCTATGTGAGTGAGTGGTGGTCAGTGTGAGTGAGTGGTGGGCAGTGTGAGTGAGTGGTGGTCTATGTGAGTGAGTGGTGGGCAGTGTGAGTGAGTGGTGGTCTATGTGTGTGAGTGGTGGGCAGTGTGAGTGAGTGGTGGGCAGTGTGAGTGAGTGGGGGGCAGTGTGAGTGAGTGGTGGTCTATGTGAGTGAGTGGTGGGCAGTGTGAGTGAGTGGGGGGCAGTGTGAGTGAGTGGTGGTCTATGTGAGTGAGTGGTGGGCAGTGTGAGTGAGTGGTGGGCAGTGTGAGTGAGTGGTGGTCTGTGTGAGTGAGTGGTGGTCTATGTGAGTGAGTGGTGGGCAGTGTGAGTGAGTGGTGGTCTATGTGAGTGAGTGGTGGGCAGTGTGAGTGAGTGGTGGTCTATGTGTGTGAGTGGTGGGCAGTGTGAGTGAGTGGTGGGCAGTGTGAGTGAGTGGTGGGCAGTGTGAGTGAGTGGTGGTCTATGTGAGTGAGTGGTGGGCAGTGTGAGTGAGTGGGGGGCAGTGTGAGTGAGTGGTGGTCTATGTGAGTGAGTGGTGGGCAGTGTGAGTGAGTGGTGGTCTATGTGAGTGAGTGGTGGGCAGTGTGAGTGAGTGGGGGGCAGTGTGAGTGAGTGGTGGTCTATGTGAGTGAGTGGTGGTCTATGTGAGTGAGTGGTGGTCTATGTGAGTGAGTGGTGGTCAGTGTGAGTGAGTGGTGGGCAGTGTGAGTGAGTGGTGGTCTATGTGAGTGAGTGGTGGGCAGTGTGAGTGAGTGGTGGGCAGTGTGAGTGAGTGGTGGGCAGTGTGAGTGAGTGGTGGGCAGTGTGAGTGAGTGGTGGGCAGTGTGTGTGAGTGGTGGGCAGTGTGAGTGAGTGGTGGTCTGTGTGAGTGAGTGGTGGTCTATGTGTGTGAGTGGTGGGCAGTGTGAGTGAGTGGGGGGCAGTGTGAGTGAGTGGTGGTCTATGTGAGTGAGTGGTGGGCAGTGTGAGTGAGTGGTGGTCTATGTGAGTGAGTGGTGGTCTATGTGTGTGAGTGGTGGGCAGTGTGAGTGAGTGGTGGTCTGTGTGAGTGAGTGGTGGTCTATGTGTGTGAGTGGTGGGCAGTGTGAGTGAGTGGGGGGCAGTGTGAGTGAGTGGTGGTCTATGTGAGTGAGTGGTGGTCAGTGTGAGTGAGTGGTGGGCAGTGTGAGTGAGTGGTGGTCTATGTGAGTGAGTGGTGGGCAGTGTGAGTGAGTGGTGGTCTATGTGTGTGAGTGGTGGGCAGTGTGAGTGAGTGGTGGGCAGTGTGAGTGAGTGGGGGGCAGTGTGAGTGAGTGGTGGTCTATGTGAGTGAGTGGTGGGCAGTGTGAGTGAGTGGGGGGCAGTGTGAGTGAGTGGTGGTCTGTGTGAGTGAGTGGTGGTCTATGTGTGTGAGTGGTGGGCAGTGTGAGTGAGTGGGGGGCAGTGTGAGTGAGTGGTGGTCTATGTGAGTGAGTGGTGGGCAGTGTGAGTGAGTGGTGGTCTATGTGAGTGAGTGGTGGTCTATGTGTGTGAGTGGTGGGCAGTGTGAGTGAGTGGTGGTCTGTGTGAGTGAGTGGTGGTCTATGTGTGTGAGTGGTGGGCAGTGTGAGTGAGTGGGGGGCAGTGTGAGTGAGTGGTGGTCTATGTGAGTGAGTGGTGGTCAGTGTGAGTGAGTGGTGGGCAGTGTGAGTGAGTGGTGGTCTATGTGAGTGAGTGGTGGGCAGTGTGAGTGAGTGGTGGTCTATGTGTGTGAGTGGTGGGCAGTGTGAGTGAGTGGTGGGCAGTGTGAGTGAGTGGGGGGCAGTGTGAGTGAGTGGTGGTCTATGTGAGTGAGTGGTGGGCAGTGTGAGTGAGTGGGGGGCAGTGTGAGTGAGTGGTGGTCTATGTGAGTGAGTGGTGGGCAGTGTGAGTGAGTGGTGGGCAGTGTGAGTGAGTGGTGGTCTGTGTGAGTGAGTGGTGGTCTATGTGAGTGAGTGGTGGGCAGTGTGAGTGAGTGGTGGTCTATGTGAGTGAGTGGTGGGCAGTGTGAGTGAGTGGTGGTCTATGTGTGTGAGTGGTGGGCAGTGTGAGTGAGTGGTGGGCAGTGTGAGTGAGTGGTGGGCAGTGTGAGTGAGTGGTGGTCTATGTGAGTGAGTGGTGGGCAGTGTGAGTGAGTGGGGGGCAGTGTGAGTGAGTGGTGGTCTATGTGAGTGAGTGGTGGGCAGTGTGAGTGAGTGGTGGGCAGTGTGAGTGAGTGGTGGTCTGTGTGAGTGAGTGGTGGTCTATGTGAGTGAGTGGTGGGCAGTGTGTGTGAGTGGGGGGCAGTGTGAGTGAGTGGTGGGCAGTGTGAGTGAGTGGTGGACTGTGTGAGTGAGTGGTGGGCAGTGTGAATGAGTGGTGGGCAGTGTGAGTGAGTGGTGGGCAGTGTGAGTGAGTGGTGGGCAGTGTGAGTGGTGAGCAGTGTGAGTGAGTGGTGGATATCGTGAGTGGTGAGCAGTGTGAGTGGTGGGCAGTGTGAGTGAATGAGTGAGTGGTGAGCAGTGTGAGTGAATGAGTGAGTGCTGGACTGTGTGAGCGAGTGGTTGACTGTGTGAGTGAGTAGTGGATATCGTGAGTGATGAGCAGTGTGAGTGGTGGGCAGTGTGAGTGAATGAGTGAGTGGTGGACTGTGTGAGTTAATGAGTGAGTGGTGGACTGTGTGAGTGAATGAGTGAGTGGTGGACTGTGTGAGTGAGTGAGTGAGTGGTGGGCGAGCGTGGTGGAGCTATCCGTACTTGGCGGTGGGCATCTCGGGCGAGCTTTGGCTCGAGTGGTCGGAGCGAGGCTCCGGGAAGGTGCGCTCGCTCTCCGCAGCCTTGTGCAAGCTCAGCGAGCCCTCGCTGCAAATACACGGGGGAGACGGGGGGACACGCGGGGACACGGGGGGACACGCGGGGACACGTGGGGACACGCGGGGACACGGGGGGACACGCGGGGACACGCGGGGACACGCGGGGACACGGGGGGACACGCGGGGACACGGGGGGACACGTGGGGACACGCGGGGACACGCGGGGACACGTGGGGACACGCGGGGACATAGGGGACACGTGGGGACACGCGGGGACACGTGGGGACACACGGGGACACGCGGGGACACGTGGGGACACGCGGGGACACGCGGGGACACGTGGGGACATGCGGGGACACGCGGGGACACGTGGGGACACGCGGGGACACGCGGGGACACGCGGGGACACGTGGGGACACGCGGGGACACGTGGGGACACGCGGGGACATAGGGGTAAGAGGATATACGAGTGGGCGGGTGAGTAGATGGTTGATTGAGCGAGCGAGTGAGTCAGCGAGTAGACGATTCAGCGAGTGAGTAAACAGGCGAGTGAGTAAGCGAGCGAGCAGGTGGGCGAGTGAGCGTTTGAGCGAGTAGATGATTGATCAAGCGAGTTAAACGGGTGAGTGAGCGAGTGAGTGAACGAGTTAAACGGGTGAGTGAGCGAGCGAGTTAAACGGGCGAGTGAGTGAGCGAGCGAGCGGGTGAGCGGGGGCGAGCGGGGCCCCTCACCGGATCTCGGGCCCCTCCTGGATGTTCTCGATGCCGATGGCGCTGCTCCTGCGAGCGCCAAACGGACTCGACTTCCTGCGCACGGGACTCTTGTTGGGGATGATCAACGCCTGGGGGGGGGGGGGGGTCAGGGGTCAGGGTTCAGGGGTCGAGGGGTGGTCACACGTTGGGGACAGGCGTCTCAACCACGACGTGACAACCATCGGCGCCGGCAACTACGGCGCTCCGCCGGGTTGACGCGAGCGAGTCGCTACGGGCTGCGGTGACCTCCTGACCTCTCGACGCGTTACTGACGCCTGTTTGCGTGGACCTGTCGTGGTTTGACGGTGCTGGACAAAGATTCGGCTCCAACCACGAGAAGAAGCCTCCTCCTCCACCCACGCGTGGACTCGCTAATGTACTCGCTCGTGCCACCGGAGTTGACTCGCGCGCGCAACCAGGGTGGCACGCGCAATGAGCAGCATCAATGAGTAACACCACGGATGCCAACGCAATGGCTGATGGGAAGGCCTGCGTCCTGACGACAGAGAGAGCGTGCAGCCCAGTGGCCGCAATGAAGCCGAGTTATTTATTTCTCTATGTGGTCCCCGGACACTTGGTCCGTCATCGTCGTCAATGATGTCGCGCGGCTTTAATCTCCGTGGGACGTCCTCGTCACGCCGCTGGTACCTCACGGCTCGCGCGACTCTCACCACGAGAGAGTCTCCGGCTTTGGAGACGTCGAAAGGTACGGGAGGGGTGGGGTGTCAGGTTTCACCACATCTCTCTAATTGATTACACTGGTCAACACACTTTTTCTGGCCTAAGGTGTTAAGGTAATCTTGGGGTGCTGATTCCAAATCTGGCATTAGTTTTTTGTCGATCACATCAGGTTTTTGAGATATCAAATATTGCTTTTTCAATAAAAATTGCAGAAGAAAAATATTAAATAAATGTGGATATCTACATAAAATGATATTATAAACACACTATCCTAAAAATACAGCACCATATATTAACACTAAAGCAGTCACTGACTCGCAACAACTTCATAAGTGACAGAGTTAATTTCGGGTAAAATCAATGAAAATGGGGTATGCCGATAGCATGAAAATGAGATGAGATAGAGCAAATCTGAGATCAGATTTAGAATCAGCACACCTGAAATTTGTCTAAAACAGCTGCAAAAGTCCAGGCCAGAATTTTTTTTTTTGTTGACCAGTGAATTATTTTCAATATTCCCGCGTCGTCTGTGAATTTTTTTCCCCTCTGACATCCTTTCTCCTCCACGTTTGTTCGGATTTCTCAGCAGATTTCTCCGCCGTTGTCTCGGGATCACTCTGGACTTCCCGCGTTTTTTATTCCCACTCGAATTTCATTGAAACTTCCAGAGATTTATCCACCCGCCGGTCTCTCTCTCTGTCTCTCTCTCTCTGTCTCGACGGATCACTTAAGATTTCTCAATTTCGCAGGAGAAGGACTCGCTGCTCAAGACAATTCGAATCGTCCGTAAAAATACTCGACCGACGGCCGCAGTCTACTGCTGTGGACTTTGGTCGTCGTCTTTAAAACATTTTCTTACGAAGCTAACAAACCACTCGTTAAACGAAACTATTTTTATTATAACCAGGTAAGGCCCCAACTGAGCTATGTAGCTCTTTTTCAGAAGCGACCTGGCCACAAACGATAGCTCAACGAAGTGGCTTATCACGTGTGGAAATTTATAGCAGAAGCCAAATACTCTAAACGCGTGATTCTAAACGTGGAGGGGAAAAACCGGAGGATCCGGAGAAAAATCCACTTGGAGAACACAACATATCCAAATGCATAGACAGCTGTCGGGATCGGGATCGAACCCACGACCTCCTGCATAGCAGGCGAGGGAGATAACATCTCCTAGCCGCCGTGGCGTCCCATTGCCAGGCCACAGGCTTTCCACTCTCGCCATCAACCGCTGCTCCTCAACAACACTCGGCCCGAGTGAGATGGCCCGAGTGAGATTTCCCGAGCGCAGACGAAATTCCCAGACGGAACGGAGATTTTCGAAGCAAACGATTGGTAAGGCGTGGGAAGATCAGGAGGGTTACGACGATTCGCTTAGATTCCGTAGACTGTCGATCAAACCGCCGGACCTCTCTTTACGATCGACACACGACGATGGATCGAGTTCGTTATTTTATGAGGTCCGTCCCGTCCGCCCGTGAGTTTTGCAGCGGTACGTTCGGGGTCCTAGTTCGGGCGTTGGGAGATGGACGCACTTCCACCAGTCAATCGGAAACAAACTGGATCTCTTTCCTGCAAACTTATCCGTTTGACTTTTCTTGCCGTAATTAACAAGTACAGCCAGTGTTTCAGACTCTGTCTACTCGACAGACCTGCTCTCCACCTGAGGACGGCTGCTTGCGTTGTGGCCGAAACGTCATGAGAATTATTTATTATGTTTTATTTTTATTATTTGATTATTTCCGTTCTACGTGACTTTACCGAAAGAACCAAGAAGATGAATCCCTGCAGTCACGAAAGCTTTAAATCGAAACACGGTGGTAGTTGCATTCCTGAAGGGTTACGGGAAAAATCATAAATAAGACAGGGCAAAGCACAGTCCGCGATCACACGTGAGATGCGCAGGCAGGGCCGAACAAAGACCGGGGCATGTGGGTAGCGTCTAGAAGCATCCAGCAGCATCCCGGCCTTGTGCGATGCTGCGTCGACGCAGCCGTACGACCGCTTAGTCTACTCGCGTGACGTAGTTCCGTTCGCTCGATTGTATTGTATTCAATTCGCATTCATGGTGGGAGGCGCTGCACTTTGAGACTCAACGAAAGCGCGAATATTAAACGTATAGAAATGTATCGTTATTGACATTATTGTCATTATTGAGTCAACTACAGTCAACGCATTCTGGACGCGGGGAACTAAGCGGATGTTCTGCCGACGCGCGATTGTCAGCTCGGGGTCTCAGCAGAAGCTTTGTCTTAAGGGTTCAATCGAGGAACTGAATGCAATATTCGACCGAACTAACTTTGCGGGGTTTAAATTACAAAAAACTATTTTAATTCTAAATTTCGCTCGACAGAAGAGGCGAGCGAGGTGTGCAAATGAAAGCGTAGTGGATTCACTAATCGAGATGTCATCGTTGTGGTCTAACAATTGAGATTTAACCGAATCAAGAGAATGGTTCGTTGGCACGAGTCGCCGGGGTCAGAGTTCGTTTCCCGCGCGGTCGCAGCTGGGAGGTCAGAGACGTGTTGGGGGGGGGCAGGGGGGGGGGCAGGGGGGGGCAGGGGTGTGAGAAGACGAGTCACGTGCACGACACCACCACCACCGCAACAACAACAACAACAACGACAACAACAACCAGCAGGCCACCACCACCACGAACGACACCAATAATAGCCAGGGCTTAATTTCAGCCGGAACTGTTTGGGGCTCTGGAAAAATAATTTCCTCGCCCGCTGTTGTGAAGGGGGGGGGCGGGGGTGGGGTCTAGGGTGGGGGGGCCCGAGGGGGGGAGGGGGTATAGTTGGGGTGGGGTCTAGGGTGGGGGGGAGTTGGGGTGGGGTCTAGGGTGGGGGGGAGGGGGGGCGGGGAGCGGGGGTCTCGGTCTAGAGTGGGGGATGGGGTCTAGGGTGGGGGGCTGGAGGGGGGGAGGGGGCAGTTGGGGTGGAGTCTAGGGTGGGGGGGCTGGAGGGGGGAGTTGGGGTGGGGTCTTGTGTGGGGGGGAGGGGTGGTGGGGTCTAGGGTGGGGGGGGGGGCTGGAGGAGGGGAGGAGGGAGTGGGGTCTAAGGTGGGGGGGAGGGGGGGGTCTAGGGTTGGGGGGAGTGGGGGTGGGGTCTAGGGTGGGGGGGGGGGGCTGGAGGGAGGGTGGGGTCTAGAGTTAGGGGGGCGGGAGGGGGTGGGGTGGACGGGGGGGGGGGGTGGGGGGGAGTGGGGTCTAGGGTGGGGGGTGGGGGGGAGTGGGGGGGTCTAGGGTGGGGGGGAGGGGGTCTAGGGTAGGGAGGGTCTAGGGAGGAGGGTGGGTCTAGGTTGGGGGGGTGGGGGGGGAGTGGGGGGGTCTAGGGGGGGGGGTGGGGGGGAGTGGGGTCTAGGGAGGGGGGTGGGGGGGAGTGGGGGGGTCTAGGGGGGGGGTGGGGGGGAGTGGGTGGGTCTAGGGAGGGGGGTGGGGGGGAGTGGGGTCTAGGGTGGGGGGTGGGGGGGAGGGGGTCTAGGGTAGGGAGGGTCTAGGGAGGAGGGTGGGTCTAGGGAGGGGGGTGGGGGGGAGTGGGGTCTAGGGTGGGGGGTGGGGGGGAGTGGGGGGGTCTAGGGTGGGGGGGAGGGGGTCTAGGGTAGGGAGGGTCTAGGGAGGAGGGTGGGTCTAGGGAGGGGGGTGGGGGGGAGTGGGGGGGTCTAGGGGGGGGGGTGGGGGGGAGTGGGGTCTAGGGAGGGGGGTGGGGGGGAGTGGGGGGGTCTAGGGGGGGGGGGTGGGGGGGAGTGGGTGGGTCTAGGGAGGGGGGTGGGGGGGAGTGGGGTCTAGGGTGGGGGGTGGGGGGGAGGGGGTCTAGGGTAGGGAGGGTCTAGGGAGGAGGGTGGGTCTAGGGAGGGGGGTGGGGGGAGTGGGGGGGTCTAGAGGGGGTGGGGGGAGGGGGTGGGGGGGGAGTCATTTCGGGTTTGGTGGTTGGGCTATTGGGCGGCCCTGAAAATCATTTTGCGGAGAAGTCAAGTCGTGCTGGGTAGGCCGCGTCACACTCGCCAAGTCGGCGGGGTCAACGGCGACTGGGGTCAACGGCGACCGGGGTCAGCGGCGACTGGGGTCAACGGCGACCGGGGTCACCGGCGACCGGGGTCAACGGCGATCGGGGTCAACGGCGACCGGGGTCAACGGCGACCGGGGTCAACGGCGACCGGGGTCAACGGCGACCGGGGTCACCGGCGATCGGGGTCAACGGCGACCGGAGTCAACGGCGATCGGGGTCAACGGCGACTGGGGTCAACGGCGATCGGGGTCAACGGCGATCGGGGTCAACACAGGAGGAGGAGGAGCAGGAGGAGGAGGAGGAAGCGAGTGGAGGAGGAAGAGAGCCGCGGCCACCTCCTCTATGGTGCCTATGCCAATGGCGCTGCCTCTGCGTCCGTGCTTTGCGGGGCTCTTCCCTGGAACGAGCAACGACTGACAGCGGGGCAAGAGGGGGGGGGCAAGAGGGGGGGGGCAAGAGGGGGGGGGGCAAGAGGGGGGGGGGCAAGAGGGGGGGGAGCAAGAGGGGGGGGGGGCAAGAGGGGGGTGGGGGGCGCGGTCGGGGGCGAGTCGCGCGGGTTAGGGGGTGCGTGTCCACCTGCGATTGTGTGTCTGTGTGTGTGTGTCTGTGTGTGTGTGTGTCTGTGTGTGTGTGTCTGTGTGTGTGTCTGTGTGTGTGTGTGTGTGTCTGTGTGTGTGTGTGGGTCTGTGTGTGTGTCCACCTGCGATTGTGTGTCTGTGGTGTGTGTGTCTGTGTGTGTGTGTGTGTCTGTGTGTGTCCACCTGCGATTGTGTGTCTGTGTGTGTGTGTGTGTCTGTGTGTGTCTGTGTGTGTGTCTGTGTGTGTCTGTGCGTGTCCACCTGCGATTGTGTGTCTGTGTGTGTGTGTGTGTCTGTGTGTGTCTGTGTGTGTCTGTGTGTGTGTCTGTGTGTGTCTGTGTGTGTCTGTGTGACTGTGTGTGTCTGTGTGTGTCTGTGTCTGTGTGTGTCTGTGTGTGTCTGTGTGTCTGTGTGTCTGTGTGTGCCTGTGTGTGTCTGTTTGTCTGTGTGTGTCTGTGTGTGTCTGTGTGTGTCTGTGTGCGTGTCCACCTGCGATTGTGTGTCTGTGTGTGTGTGTCTGTGTGTGTCTGTGTGACTGTGTGTGTCTGTGTGTGTCTGTGTGTGTCTGTGTGTCTGTGTGTGTCTGTGTGTGTCTGTGTGTGTGTCTGTGTGTGTCTGTGTGTATCTGTGTGTGTGTCTGTGTGTGTCTGTGTGTGTCTGTGTGTCTGTGTGTGTCTGTGTGTGTCTGTGTGTGTCTGTGTGTGTGTCTGTGTGCGTGTCCACCTGCGATTGTGTGTCTGTGTGTGTGTCTGTGTGTGTCTGTGTGTGTCTGTGTGTGTCTGTGTGTGTCTGTGTGTGTCTGTGTGTGTCTGTGTGTCTGTGTGTGTCTGTGTGTGTCTGTGTGTGTGTGTCTGTGTGTGTCTGTGTGACTGTGTGTGTCTGTGTGTCTGTGTGTGTCTGTGCGACTGTGTGTCTGTGTGTGTGTCTGTGTGTGTGTTTGTGTGTGTGTCTGTGTGTGTCTGTGTGTGTCTGTGTGACTGTGTGTGTCTGTGTGTGTCTGTGTGTGTCTGTGTGTGTCTGTGTGTGTCTGTGTGTCTCTGTGTGTGTCTGTGTTTGTCTGTGTGACTGTGTGTGTCTGTGTGTGTCTGTGTGTGTCTGTGTGACTGTGTGTGTCTGTGTGTGTGTGTGACTGTGTGTCTGTGTGTGTCTGTGTGTGTCTGTGTGTGTCTGTGTGTGTCTGTGTGTGTCTGTGTGTCTGTGTGACTGTGTGCTGTGTGTGTCTGTGTGTGTCTGTGTGTGTGTCTGTGTGTCTGTGTGTGTGTGTCTGTGTGTGTGTGTCTGTGTGTGTGTGTCTGTGTGTGTGTGTGTCTGTGTGTCTGTGTGTCTGTGTGTTTGTGTCTGTGTGTCTGTGTGTGTCTGTGTGTGTCTGTGTGTGTGTCTGTGTGTGTCTGTGTGTGTCTGTGTGTGTCTGTGTGACTGTGTGTGTCTGTGTGTGTCTGTGTGACTGTGTGTGTCTGTGTGTCTGTGTGTGTCTGTGTGTCCGCATGAAACCGCAGGAAAGGGCGGTCCTGCACAGATGCCATATTTTCTGTCCGTCTGCTACAGCAGAGGTGTAGGGAATTCCAAAAAGACCTACATCTCTGCTTTATTGACCTGGTCAAGGCCTATGATACCATCAGTAGGACTGGGCTCTGGGTTGTTCTTCGTGCTTTCGGAGTCCCTGACCCTCTGCTCACGGTCATTAAGGACCTTCATGATGGTGAGCGGGCCCGGGTAAAACTACGTGGCCGGGAGTCGGAGCCTTTCCCTGTACACCTTGGGGTGCGACAGGGATGTCCTCTGGCTCCCACATTATTTAACATCTATTTTGACCGCGTAGTTCGTGAAGCCTTCAATAGCTGTACCGGGGGAATTTCCATTTGGTACAGATATAATGGGAGGCTGATCGATGCCCGGGTGCGATCAAGGGATGGCTCCCTATTGGTCAACCACGTTATGTATGCCGATGATTTGGTAATAGCTGCTCATTCAGAAGAGGAGTTGGAGACGCTGCTGCTGAGACTGGAGCGTGCCACTAAGAGGTGGGGCCTTACCATCAGCCCCACCAAAACTAAGCACCTGCCTGGGTATTTTGTACCATCGGACACTCCACCCCCACAACTCCCAATTGGTGATGGGGCAGTTGTGGAGAGAGTGGAGAGTTTCCCATACCTGGGCAGTGTGCTCATGACCGGCTCCAGTTTATCAGCAGAGGTCTCACTCCGAATCAGTCGAGCGGCAATATATTTTCATTGGTTGCGTAACACTGTGTGGAAGCTACCTGGTTTGTCGCTCTGCACGAAGCTTCAGGTCTTCTCGGCCACGGTCATTCCCTCCCTTCTCTACGCTTGCGAAACGTGGACCCCCCTAGTGGAGCATCTTCGCCGGTTGGAAACATTTAGGCTGGCCTGCCTACGATCCATCCTGGGTTTAACCAGGCTGGATTGTGTGAGGAGCTCACAAATCCTTGAAAGATCTGGGCAAAGTCCCATCAGTGAGCTCCTCCGGCAGGCAAGGCTGCGTTGGCTGGGTCATGTAGCCCGCATGCCCAGCCACCGCATGCCTAAACAGCTTTTGTTCGGCCGGATCGAGGGGGCTAGACGGGCGCGGCATGGGCTGGAGAAGAGATGGAGTGATGTGGTACAGGAGGACGTGGAGCTGAGTGGACTTGCCGATGACTGGTACCAGCGGTGTCAAGATCGGCCTCAGTGGAGGAGGCTCGTGAAGGACGCTACTGGGCAGTTGGAGGCAGTCGCCCTCCAACAACAACGGAGGGCGGAGGAGCGACGCTCACAACAACGAGCGGAGCGCCGGGTGGCTAAAGCACAGCAAGTTGGTACAGTAGGGGGCACAGGTGGTGCATCAGCCAGTCATCTCGGTCATCTCGGTCAGTCGACCCGTGGCACCTGGGTCTGCCCCGTGACCTCCTGCCAGCGGGCGTTCGACACTTCACGTGGCCTCAAGGTGCACTTGGCCTGGCACAAGCATCGTGGTGACGTCACCGCCACTTAGTGGCGAATGGCGGTTGTTGTTGTTGTTGTCTGTGTGTCTGTGTGTCTGTGTGTGTGTGTCTGTGCGGTAGTGTAGCGGTTAGCGCGCTGCGCTATGAACCTGGCGACCCGGGTTCGATTCCCGCTCACGGCTAACACCAGTGACGATTATCTGAACCGGTCCTGGGCCTCCCCTAGGTCGACTCAGCCTTAAATGAGTACCTGGTGCGGTGTGTAAACATCGCCACTGGGGAGACAAAGGCGGTCGGGCGTGGTGCTGGCCACCCACCCCCTCGTGTACCGTTCCGGCCTTCATAGGTGCTCGCTAACAGCACTTGCCCCTACAGTCTGTTAAGGCTATACGGGGGATCTTTGTCTTTGTCTTTGTGTGTCTGTGTGTCTGTGTGTGTGTGTGTCTGTGTGTCTGAGCGGTGGTGAGTGAGCGGTGGTGAGTGAGCGGTGGTGAGCGAGCGGTGGTGAGTGAGTGAGCGGTGATGAGTGAGCGGTGGGCGAGCGGTGAGCGGTGGTGAGTGAGCGGTGGTGAGTGAGCGGTGATGAGTGAGCGGTGAGCGAGCGGTGAGCGGTGGTGAGTGAGCGGTGATGAGTGAGCGGTGGTGAGCGGTGGTGAGCGGTTCCGCCACTCACGATCCCGGCGGCCCTGGCGCTGCCGTCGCTCACGCTGTGGCTGATGAGCGGCGCCCCGTGGCTGGAGGACGAGGCCAGGGTGGCCGCGCCGCCGGGGGGGGCTACGCCGCCACCGGCCCCCCCCGCCGCGTTCTGCTTCTTCACCGCCGCCCCCATGGCGTCCATCGACTGGCTTCGCCCGCGGATCACTCGCTGAGGCCGCGGAGGCAGACGGAGAGAGAGAGACAGAGAGAGACAGAGAGAGACAGAGAGAGACAGAGAGAGACAGAGAGACAGAGAGAGACATAGAGAGACAGAGAGAGACATAGAGAGACATAGAGAGACAGAGAGAGAGACAGAGAGAGACAGAGAGACAGAGAGAGAAAGAGAGAGACATATACCGAGAGATAGGCAGAAACAGTGAGAGAGGGAGAGACAAAGAGACAAAGACACAGAGACACAGAGACATGAAACTCAACTATTGGACGATGTTTATTTTACCAGCTACCTGGCTATCACCAAATGATAGCTAAACAAAGTGGCACACCGCCATAACGAGGAAATTTACAGCAGCCAAAGACTCGAAACGCGTCACGTTGAGTCTAAATGTGGAGGGGAAATCCGGAGGACCCGGAGAGAAATTCCACGTGACCACGGGAAGAGAGACGCCGCAAACTCCAAATATATAGCAGCAGGCATCAGGGTCAGGATCGAACCTACCGACCTCCTGTACACCAGGCGAGGTGGTTAACATCTCAACGGGGTGAGAGAGACACACAAACTACAAATATACAGCAGCAGGTGTCAGGGTCAGGATCGAACCCACGACCTCCTGTACACCAGGCGAGGTGGTTAACATCTCACCACCATTTTGGATCCAGCCGGAACCGAGCCGGAACCAGTGTCTCTCTCTGCATCTCTCTCTGTGTTTCTCTCTGTCTCGCCCCCCCCCGTCCCTCCACCCCACATAGCATACACACCCGGGAGAAGACATCGGACGCGGTACCTTGAAGGACTCGAGAAAGCCGCCGCCGCCACCGCCGCCGCCGCCACCGCCGGCGCCGGTGCCAACGCCGCCACCGCCGGCGCCGTTCTCGGCGCGGTCCTCGTCCCCGGGGCCCCCGGACAGGCCCAGCACGGCCTGGCTGCGGCGCGCCAGCTCCTCGTGCAGCGTCTCCAGCAGCGCCGCGCGCGTGCGCTCCTGTGCACGCGCGCAGACACACACACGCACTTAGACACACACACACAGGCACGCGCACAGACACACGCAGACACGCACACACAGACACAGACAGACACGCACGTAGACACACACAGACACACACAGACACACGCACAGACACGCACGTAGACACACGCACAGACACGCACGTAGACACACGCACAGACACACACACAGACACACACACAGACACATGCACAGACACGCACAGACACACGCACAGACACGCATGTAGACACACACACACAGACACGCACACAGACACGCACGTAGACACACAAAGACACACACACACAGACACACACACACAGACACACACACACACAGACACACACACACACAGACACACACACACAGACACGCGCACACAGACACACGCGAGCAGCCCTCTACGTGGGTGCGACACAGCGACCGAGCGCCGGAGCGAACGTCCGACGGTACGACGACTACGACCACACGAGCGAGTGATCGACCAACTGACTGACATCCAACCAGCTTACGAAGTAACTGACTGACCGACTGCCCGACTGACTGAGCGACTGAATGGCAGACCAAACGTCTGGCTGACTGACAAATGACCAAACGAGCGAGTGACGGACCAACTTACGGAATGGCTGGCCGACAAACCGACGTGCTAGCCAAAAAACCGAGCATCTGGCCGACTGATGACTCACCAATCTGCTGCCAGAACAACCTGACTGACATAGCGACCAACGGATCAAACATCCAGCTGACTGACAATAACGACGACGACGACTTGAACGTACCGTGAAGCGTGCGAACCGCGAACGCGGTGCAGCGACTTTCGGTCCACGGACCGCAGAAAATGTCCCGGCCGACGCGTGGCCGGGGCGGAAGCCGGCAGCCCGGACGGAGGGGTACAGCGGGCGTGGTGTGACGTGGGGGGGGGGCGGGGGGGGTACCTCGAGTTTGGCGAACTTGTCGGCGCGATAGCAGGCGTGCTCGGCGTTGATGAGTTTGGTGAGCAGGAACTCGCGAAATTCCTCCCCCTGAAGTCGGAGCGAGTTCAAAGGTCGGAGGTCAACGCGCGTTGGGGGTCATGCGGGGGTCACACGAGGTCGCGTGGGGTCACGCAAGGTCACGCAAGGTCACGCGAGGTCACACGAGGTCACGCGCGTGACGTGACGAAGGCTGCCCAGGGTTGACGGGCGTCGAATGAGGGAGGGGACGGGAGCGAGAGACGCGAACGAGCGGACGACTCAATGAGTTGAGAAACGTACACACGCTCGTGAATGAGTTGAGAAACGTACACACGTGCGCGAATGAGTTGAGAAACGTACACACGTGCGCGAATGAGTTGAGAAACGTACACGCGCGTGAATGAGTTGAGAAACGTACACACGCGTGAATGAGTTGAGAAACGTACACACGTGCGCGAATGAGTTGAGAAACGTACACACGCGCGAATGAGTTGAGAAACGTACACACGTGTGAATGAGTTGAGAAACGTACACGCGCGTGAATGAGTTGAGAAACGTACACACGTGCGCGAATGAGTTGAGAAACGTACACACGCGCGAATGAGTTGAGAAACGTACACACGTGTGAATGAGTTGAGAAACGTACACGCGCGTGAATGAGTTGAGAAACGTACACACGTGCGCGAATGAGTTGAGAAACATACACACGCGTGAATGAGTTGAGAAACGTACACACGTGTGTGAATGAGTTGAAAAACGTACACACGCATGAATGAGTTGAGAAACGTACACACGCGTGAATGAGTTGAGAAACGTACACGCGCGTGAATGAGTTGAGAAACGTACACACGCGTGAATGAGTTGAGAATCGTACACACGCGTGTGAATGAGTTGAGAAACGTACACACGCATGAATGAGTTGAGAAACGTTCACACGCGTGAATGAGTTGAGAAACGTACACGCGCGCCCGAACGAGTTGAGAAACGTACACATGCGTGAATGAGTTGAGAAACGTACACATGCGTGAATGAGTTGAGAAACGTACACACGCGCCCGAATTCATTTCACGAATAGACGGAGCAGCAGAGCAAACGAACGCTTTCACGAAGCAACCGGCGAACGAGCCGACATACGAACGAACCAACGTGACGCACGCAAGCACGCACAAGCGAGCGAACGCGGGCGAAGAAGAATTGCGCGCGTATAAGGAGCAGACGCGTCTGTCCCGCAGCGCGAACACAAAGAGCGAGGGCGGCGTGCCCTCTGCGATAGAGTCTACGCAGCGGAGACACCTTTTTGAAGACGGGCGGGTTGGGCAGAGGGGGCTTGAACTCCGGCACGTCGTCCCGCGCCGTGATGGACAACTGTGGGTGGGGAGGCGGTCGACACAAAACGGCACGGTGAGAAAGAAAAGAAAGAAGAAAAATCATCGCCGACTGTGGAATGTATTTTGAGCGAAGACGAGAGGCGGTGGGCGATTCGCGCTCACGGTCAGCGACACTGGTGACGATTGCCTGTACACACCTGTACACACCTTTACACACCTGTACAGGCAATCGTCACCGGTGTCGCTTGCCTGTACACACCTGTACAGGCACCTGTACAGGCAAGCGACACCGGTGACGATTGCCTGTACACAGCTGTACAGGATTAACTGCACGTGTGGTAAATGTCGTGTTGGGCAAACAGGACGAATGATCAGCACGAGACTAAAAGAACATCAGATAAATATTAAATTCTCCCAAATGCAACTGTCAGCAGAACACGCGTGCCAACAAGGACACTCAATTGATTTTGACAATGTTGATGTTCTGTGCAAAACTAGCTACTACTGGCCAAGACTAATTGGAGAATCTATCGAAATGAAAAGAAATCAAAATAACTTTAACCGTTCGATTAGCTACCGCCTTAGTGCTGCGTGGAAGCGAATCATCAATTAACACATTGTGTAAATGCGTGCCTACAAAGGACAGCGTAACTTCAATAGGGATTACCGTTGGTAGGGCTATTTTAATACACACAATAGACAGGAAGGACAAGATCAAAGGGCTCGCATAATGCGCATGCATAATGTATGTTGACCCAGTAATTCCCCCCCCCCCCACATTGCGCAAGAGTGCAGAAGCGTGGTCACCACATCTACGCCTCTATGTAACGAACGAAACAGGTGGACTGCTCCACAAATCTGGCTGTCGCCTGATGAAGCTAGTTGTAATTACCGGCGAAACGTCGTACTCAGATTGTAAATGTTGTGGCTTGGCTCTCCAACACACAACGGGTTAGTGCTGTACTAGTACACTACACTATACACTACACTATACACTACACTATACACTACACTACTACACACTACACTATACACTACACTATACACTACACTAGTGCTGTACTAGTGACGAATTGGCCACGTTCTGTTCACGTGACAACCCTCACTAGTTGGCTGTGTCGGGTGGTGGCGGGTTTTAACGACACATTCACATATTTATTATGCCTGAAGCGGTCACGGGGCCTCTCCCCTGGGGTCAAATCGGCCTCAAGCGAGTACCCCGGTGCGGTGTGTAAACATCGCCGCCGGGGAGACGAAGGCGGCCGGGTGTGGTGCTGGCCACCCACCCCCTCGTGTGCCGTGCCGGCCTTCATAGGTGTTGCTACTCGTAAACGGCACTTGTCCTCAACAATCCGTTAAGGCTACACGGGGGATCTTTGTCTTTGGCGGCGTTAGCGCAATGTGTAGCACGCTGCGCTAAGAACCCAGGTGACCCGAGTTCGAATCCCGCTCATCGGCGACGGTGATCTGAAGCGGTCCAGGGCCTCTCCCCTAGTTCGACTCGGCCTCAAACAAGTAGGAGGTGCGGCGGAGTGTGAAACATCCTCGGTGTGTGAAACACCATCAGTGTGTGAAACACCACCGGTGTGTAAAACATCGCCGCTGTACGTTGGGGGGCCAAGAAAATTTTTGTGTTTGGCAGTGGCCGCCTGGGGGCCGCCCCCCCACCGCCCCCCACTGCCTATCCCCCCACCGCCCGACCCCCCCACCGCCCTCCCCCCACCGCCCCCCCCCCCTCACCGCCCCCCCCACCGCCCCCCCCCCCTCACCGCCCCCCCCACCGCCCCCCCCCCACCTTGTAGGCGGTGTTGCTGCTGCAGGGCTCCTCCACCTGCACCACGGCATAGGCGTGCAGGAAGTTGGAGGCCACCATGTCGGGCACGAAGGGCGTGTTCTCCTCCTGGAACACCACCGCCACGATGTCGTTGCCGATGTGGCGCTTGCGCTGCAGCTGCGGCGGCGGGGGGCGGGGGGGGCGGGGGGGGGAGGGGGGGGAGGGGGGGGAGCGGGGGGCAGCACGGACGGCATGAGGAGGAGAGGGCAGCACGGATGACGGGAGGAGGGAGGAGGCAGCACGAACAAGAGGAAGAGAGGGGAGCACGGAGGAGGGGAGGGCAGCACGGAGGAGGGGAGGGCAGCACGGATGACGGGAGGAGGGAGGAGGCAGCACGAACAAGAGGAAGAGAGGGGAGCACGGAGGAGGGGAGGGCAGCACGGAGGAGGGGAGGGCAGCACGGAGGAGGAGAGGGCAGCACGGATGACGGGAGGAGGGAGGAGGGAGGAGGCAGCACGAACAAGAGGAAGAGAGGGGAGCACGGAGGAGGGGAGGGCAGCACGGAGGAGGGGAGGGCAGCACGGATGACGGGAGGAGGCAGCACGAACAAGAGGAAGAGAGGGGAGCACGGAGGAGGGGAGGGCAGCACGGAGGAGGGGAGGGCAGCACGGATGACGGGAGGAGGCAGCACGAACAAGAGGAAGAGAGGGGAGCACGGAGGAGGGGAGGGCAGCACGGAGCAGAGGGGAGCCCATGGGGGCAGGTGAGGGCAGCAGGGAGGGAAGAGACTTGGGCGGTTGGCACGAGTTGTAAAAACACCAACGGCACAAACTCGTAAAACGCGTTCACGTCGAGTGGATTCTGTCGAGGGAGGTGAGAACCACACAGGCCACTTGACCTTCACAGTGGATTGACCATAGCTGACGCTGATGACGATTACCATGACGATGATGACAATCATAATTACCATGATAATTATAATGACGATGACGACAATGGTGATGACCACGATGATGATGATGATGACGATGACGACAATAATAGTTCAATTTGTAACGCGCGCAAATTTGCAGACGTAGTGGCTGCAACTCAGAGGCGCGGAGCCAAGCCCAGAGTCGCTCGAAAGCTCGTGGTTATAGAGGTGAGTTCTTAAGTGTCTCTTGAAGGAGGCGATTGAGGTAATACTGCGAATGTGCAGAGGGACATCGTTCCAGACTGTTGGGGCTGCCACCGAGAAGCGGCGCATAGACACGATGACCATCCTGGATCTTGGTATCAAGAGGAGGTCGTGAGTCGCGCTGCGCAGGCATCTGCCGCGTGCTGAGCTGCAAGTTGTCAATAATGACGACAATGATGACGACAGCGATGATGATGGCAGCGATGATGATGACGACGACGAGGGCCACCTGCTGCGCGTCGCCCTCGGTGTAGGGCAGCTTG